GACTCGACGGCACATAACAACAACAACAACAAGCCATTCCATAAAAAATTACTAGCAAGTCAGTAACATTAAATATATTGCTTACAGTCTTATGTATTGAAGATAAAAACTAATTGTAGTCCTTAATTCTAAACCAAGTTTATATCATTCTGAGATCTTCAATTACCAAGATTCATTTGCTCTTACCTTTTAATCCCTCTGACAAGCAGAGAAGCCCAGGGCTGATGCATAGAGAGACACCAGCCACCATCAAAGCCTTCTTGAAACTCCTGGTCCTGGATTCGCATCTGATGCTTGTATGAATTGAACTCCAGTTCCAAGCCTGCTAACTGGTAAGTCTTCTTTTGTGAAACTGTACCTGTCTGGTCCACCCACTATTAAAAAAAACAAACAAAAAACAACAAACCCAAACAAACACCTAAACAAATACACAGTTCTGTCTGACAAGAGAACAACTTAGAGGAGAATCAGGTAGGTGGATAATACCATGTAATTTAATATAAACCAATCATTCTGAAAGATTTTTTCCCCAGGAAAATTCATCTCAATTTCATCTAAAACAAAGCCAAAAAGGATAGAGATGGCATAAACTCAGTAGGATTCCAAGTATGTTGATAAGGCTTCATGGAAGAGGACAATGTAGAATGTTGAAATCTCTACATAATGCTTTCTAATTCCAGCAACATCACACTTATGAACCCAAAAGGCTGTAATTATTTCTATTTTACACTTAATGATCCATATTGGATTCTGGACAACTTCCCAACATAATTCTACACTCAAATGGAAGTTTGTCATTTTGTTCTCCATATTCTTCACATGGCTAGGGTTACATGTTGGTACCACAATAAAGCTAAATAGATGCTGTCAACAGCAGTAGTTCTGACTACTGACAGCAAGAAGTGCTCTGTTATTCTGAAATTAACAACTTATCCCTTGAAAGAGAAGATGGAATAAAATTGAAACAAGCTCATTTTTAAAGAGAATAGAAAATGATAGGGTACAGGTAATAACAGGGACTGAAAAGATCTGGCAGTAGTTGAGTCAGAGAATGACAAAGTTTAATGTAGAACGGGAATGATCTTGGGGTTGGGGTGAGACTGAGTAAGATGGGTTCAATAATGTATACTGCACTGAAACAGAGGAGGGAG